TGGTGCTTTTACCTCTATTTCACGTCTTGAACTCTTTATCAGTCGCAGATTTCTTTCGAAATTCAAAAATTCTGGCGATACCTTGGTAGAAGCCTAGGTAGCAGTATTTATGGCATGACGAAATTCACGCAGATGCCTATCGCAGCTTCTATGAACGGCGTCACAAACACCGCTATCATCGCTTTAAAAGTCCGATTGACATGCTCTACCGGATTGCTTTGTTGGTGATACGTAGTGTACAACAAATGCTCAATACCGTATTATCGCTACCTATCGTGAAATACCTTGCATTTATACGCTTTTACATCATCGTTAACAATATATTCCCACCTGAAGAGAATTAATGCTTCGAGTGCAGCAGCGAGGGCTGAACCGTACGCCGACCGTAGCGGTTTCAGTTCGATCCATTTCGTAAATAGATCCTGAAATACCACCGTATATTTATACCGGTTTTTGCTACGTGGAAACTCCACCATATCAGTCGCTACCACAGTCCATGGCCTTTCTACTAAGTGTTTACTTATAAGACCTTGAGGCGCTTGCTTAACTACTTGATACAACTAACATTGAGTGCATTCTTCTTCGTCGTCGTCGTCGTCTTCACATCATACCCTACTCGTTACTTGCTCGTAAGACTTTTTTCGATTAAAGTATCGCGCAAATGGATTACAATGAGTAGAAAATAGATGTAAAAGAAATTGGATTACTCTAGGTTGATTTTTAGACTAGAAAACATGTGGTTCATACTCTGGGCCGAAAAGCATATCCGTAAGGTACGTAAAAATAGCCAACGCGTTAACCAAACCGAACGGTATTCGCTTGAATTCCCATAAACCGAGGTCAGGGACCGCATACGCCGTATACTGTTTGCTATTTTTCGACAGGATAATCTGCCAAAATGCCGCTCGTAAGTTTATTTTTGATAGATAGACCGCTCCACGCAATCTATCTAAAATAGCGTCAATGCTAGGCATTCGATACGCTTCTACTTTTATTACCTTATTTACTGGTCTAAAATTAACACAAATCCTGTAACTATCGTTTGTTTACACACGATCACCGGACCGTTACACCATTGACTATTCGATGGCCTAATTATTTTCGCCTTCTATAACCGCATAGTTTCTTCCACCGAAAATGCTAAATTCGGGGGTGACATACGGCGCATCGGCGTCTTTATTGGGAGCGTATTACCTACACCAATATCTTGCTCGATAACTTTTGTAACCCCCGGCGATTCACCGGGCACCGGGACAATCCAGCGGACGAGCACCACAATTGTTTTTCGATGAGCCTCCTCTTAATTGCTCAACCCTGTACAATCTGCGTAAACATTTACTGCTTCACTAATTTTCTCTGCTAACTGTTACCAATTGAAACCTCCTGCCCACCAAAAGCGAATCCCGTAATTAATGTTAATATTCCATTTATTTTATAAATCTGCACCTAAAATCAAGTGGTGTCTTAAAGTAGATACTACCACTGCAATCAGTCAGTCAGTTTTACCATCAATTTCCATATTTAGCTTCAAGTCTCCCCATGTTAGCAGCTTCTCTCCCGAGATAATCTGTACGAATATCGTGGGTAGTCTTAAGGTACCTAAACCGTAACAAGATTCGGCCCTGCTACTGATATCTGTGTACCTAAATCTAACAGCTCTTTATAGACCTACTCGCATATGTCGACCTTAATAATATACCTGTTGTCTACTACCGCAACTAACGCTACATTTAATTTTTATGCCGTTCATTTAGAAAATTATGAGTTACACTCAAACTCTCCCTTCACCGAACGGGCGTCAGTACCAACAACGGAACATTCACACAACAAAACATGATGATCGGCAAGCTCACTCTTATTGCGTGTTACTGTGACCCTTGTCGTAGAACGTTCCGACAGAAGCGCAACGCCTGAAGTCGCTTTCTCATACGAAAAATCGACCATAGGTTCATCCTTATAACTAAAAGCAACTGTCTTTTCTGAAGCCTGTCCTATCGTTGGCGAAATACTCGAAGCTGCTTCTCTCGTGTTCATGCGGAATGACGGCAATTCTCTTTGCCTTGTTTTGCATTTACCGGGCAAACTAACTCTCACAAACGAATTACCTAGAGTGATCTCTTCCCGTGTATCCTCGTCTAGTAAAAAATTATGCATATTTCAAAGGGACGGAGTGAGCAAAATACTGATTTTTATTTCGATGGAAATAAACACAAATGAATTTTATTGAAACAAATGAACGTCAAGTACAAAAACCCTATAGGGAACGCCGGAAATACAAAAATTTTTCACTCGAAAATTAAGCAACTTTTTCGTCGCGAGTCTAACCGAAGAGTGACTTAAAAATAAACTGTTAACGGCGTATCTCATTTGAGCCGCCGTAATCTTTCTGGTAGGGTCACCTCCCTTATTGGCTCTTATGTACCGGAGAATTTATACGCCTTCATCCGATCAAAACCCATGCTCAGCTTTCCTTTACCGTCTTCAGGCGACATACAATTCCCGGAAGTCGAACGTCCCACAAGATCTAACGGCTTGCAAGAGTCAGACTCATGGAGCCAGGAATTGGCTTCATGGCCACGAAACACCTTTGCACGTCAAGGTCAAACGGACCTGATTGAGGGAGATGAATACGTTCACGTCGCGCACTTTACTCTTCACGAGTACAACAGATAAGCAGCTTAAAGTAACGCAGACTTATTCTAACAATTACTCTTACAATTATAATTCGCTCGCATTCACTTTACGAATTTTTTATTTTGTATGACGTTTGATCGCAACTTGAAATATAACTCGTTAACTTGACGCCGAAAACCGATTGTCCTTCAAGAGCAACTACGCTATCCATAAGTAATCAAATACTTTTTTCTGCCATGTGTTAGGTTTTCTCCGGCGCCAGCGAAAGCAAACACGCATTCTACACATTGACGTTTCGACTACCTGTGTTTTCCAGGTTGTCTTCTACTTCTCTTTCTTCTTTTAAACAGAGCTCATCTATAACGTTCTTAACACTATTGGTATTGCAATACTTTTGAAAATCCTTTGCTTCTCCCTGTACCGAGTCGCGTTTATTTGCTTGTTCGGAACCATCATTAGGCTTATTGGAGAAATTCACATCTTCACTGCTCTGCGCTCGATTTTCTTTGAGTATCAAACTAGGAAGCTTGGCCTTGAACATGGTTCTTACAATTTCGTCCTGCACATTTCTCAAAACTACTATTCCCGTGCTATCCTTTCCGAACCCAATCCACATTCTCTAATATAATTACAAGCTCACATTTAACTCTTTTTTTATATATATCCTTCTGCAGTATACATCATGCTCATTCATCTACGAGAGCAGGTGCAGAACCGGTAATTCTTGCCTTGTTCTTGTATTCCTTTCTTTCCTCAGCTCGACTTTCTTCCCCTACCGTGCGTTTGCTCCTAAATCAAAGCACTTCTTCTACCAAAATTGCTCGCTTGATCTATTATAGGCAGGTGTCGTCGAACGGTTGACGACTAGATTGCAGATTGAGTGATCTCTGAAAACGTATTTACTGGTTCTACATACCTGACATACCGGTGCGCATTCGGTAAATCGAACTCGGTTATTATTAGCATAATGCCCTGATTACTGACACTTGTAGCAAACAACAAACAGTTTAATTCAAGCCACCGGACATTGCGCTCTTCTGTGTCCTACAGCGTTGCAATTGAAATAAGCTCCTTTCAATGGTATATCTAAATTTCCTCTAAAGGCGCTACTACTGCGGAATCAAGCTAAAAAGTATCAATTAAAAAAAGATAAAAAATAGATTTAGAACTAAGCGGTATCTTAACAACATTCATCAGAAGAAAGTTGTACTACTTAGTCCTGATGTTCTAGCTAGAGTAACTATCGTTGACAAAAAATGCATCTTAGAAGCGCTAATTTCCCCACCTTGGCTCACCGCAAGTTAGAAAAATTTGATATTTGACACATGGAGATAATACACGCCGCACATGCTGACGTTTTCGTACAAACGGATTTATTATACGTCTAGCGCGTTCTCGCGAATCAATTATGATTTTTGCAGTATTAACTAATTTCACCTGTCTTTACCACTCGACTTCGTGAGACTTTTTTAACCTTTAGAGGACCGGAAAGCCAGTATACTGGCCAATTCCATGTTCGACACTTTACCCATGATGAATCCATGATATAAGATACCTTTTTTATAGGTTTTTTATAGGGGAGAGAGCAGTTCAAATCCCGGTCTTCTTAAGGTTAAGAGCTGTCCCACAGCGTCAGCTACAAAGATATAGGAATTTACGGTATCCTTATGTTGACCTTACCTGTGTAAGCCTTATCGAGACATCACATTTTTATAACTTATTTTTTAGCTGGAAAAATATTCTGCAATATCTCTAGCAAAATATTTTTTAGTCATTAAATAATTTTTTTCTACATTGTTTGTAAAATAAAATAAATTATTTTTTTCATTTCCCAGATTAAGTGAGACTTTCCCTAATGTCTGCAACCATTTTAAATATATCAAGCCTTCATAGGTTAGCATAAAAACACATGTCTTCTTTCTATATTTTCTTTCGGTCGAACCAATATCTTTTAGAGTAAATATTAACACCTCAAAGATATACAATATTGTTTGTAAGACCTTAGCAGAGTGACATTTTCATTGGTATCTAATTTACTTGCCTCAAACTCCTACAAAAACGCTTTAAACTTCTTTGTTAACCTTTGTATCACAGATGTATACGATATATGAAGGATTTGATAAATACGAACTCACATGTTTAATCAATATAACACATGCTCGCTCACTGTTAATAAGACTTACAACGAACTATAAACCAATATGGAATGATATCTTACAAGATGGAAAAATAAATTCGTTTTACAGGGATACTGTTGGTGCTATGATACTGCATCGATAGTAAAATGATGCACTAATAAGAATAACGATCTGGCATAGTAGAAAATATCAAGTCATATCGAAAAAATATTGCTTAACATTTTTTTTTTCTAACATATTTATTCCTCCCTTTTTTGTACATAAGAGTAACTCACAATAATGTAAGATACATTCTGTCATGATTTTACGTAATACATAGTTAAGCGATAGTTAAGCCCGTACTACATGAAAAAAAAGACTAAATAACTAATAGGAGAATTATTCATATTCGTTTATCACTTTTCTGGTATATATTTAGTTATATATCATTTATTTATCTTAATTTGGAATTTGTGTTATAGTATCCAATTCTATCTCTTCTGCATCTCGAACGTTTTCAATTATACTATTATAATTTGCTTTCAAGTCCTTAGAATTTGAATTTAATCTTTCTGAATTATTCCTAGAATGCCACTGAACATAATTCAAAGTTTCTTTATTTGAAGATCTGCAACCAAACCACCAATAAGCAGTAGCCCTTGGAAATAAAGGATTAGCAGTATCTACCTAAAACAACCATATTAATGAGGTTATAAGAATACTGCAACAAAATTTTATTCATATATTATTTTTATTATTGTACTTATAATCATCGTTCTATATTCATAAATAATTTTTGAAATAGTTTACATTAATAGTAATTAGTCTATAAATAGTTTTCACTTTGTATAGAAATAAAAGTTTTTTATTTTTAATTTTATAAGTCCATCTCACTGGAAATATATATTTAAATTTTGTACAGAATCTGTATGAAATTTATAGAAGAATACTCACAAAATCTGTACAAGTCTTGAGTAATACTCGTACGAAATTCATACACATATAAATTGTAAACCTAATTTGTACGACATATGTTCAAATTTAGTACTCAATAATAGATTCTTTACTAAATATTGAATAAATAAATAATACACGCATATTCTGGACAATATGACATGACAGTAGGATAATAGGGCAGCTTTCATACAATATTAATTGCACGGGAGAAATGGAAAAAAAAGTAACCGATCACCTGACGGAGACTTAAACCTGAGACCTGCATGTTATCAAATTTGTACTTTATTATTTTGTTACTGATGATTGTTTCAGTACTTATTAGTTTTTATATATTGCAACGTTAGTCGATTTAATTAATCGAACCGTTTGCGATTCTGCTTCTCGCGCGTTAGTTCTAACAATTAAGAGAGAGAGGGGGCGCGCGATCTTTTGAATAAGCAGTTACACCTCAGCTGTGAACGCGAATTTACCGTCGATTTGAGTCGCACTTAATTTTCGCCAAATAATTAGTTTTCTGGGACAATTTCGTCCGTAAGTGCAACAGTATTCCTGAGGTAAAAAGCAGCAGCAATGCAGAAGAAGTATTGCAGCTAATTGGAGGCAGTACAAGGCAGCGCAGCTGATTATCGAGGGGCAGCGGCAGTTGATAATTTTGCATCAACAATTACGGCTGATCACCGTAATTGCACCGCATGGTAGGTGCACCTTCCGTCATTATATGCGATACAAAATACTTTCGATATTTTGTATATTCGTGATAGTGTTATTTTATGTATTCGCGCGGAGCGTTGGTTCGCGGTAATATTCGAATCTTCTCTCTCTCTTTCTCACAGAAAATAGTTAACTGTAAAATCCTATTCGTGTGCGTTAGTCTTTCGGCCCTACAAAGACTGTAGTGATTTTTTATTAAATAAAGTCTGTTAAATTTATTCACCATTTTCGTCGTTTGATTTTCCTGGTAGCTTAAGTATTTGAAACAGGCTTAGGTTTTAATCCAATTACATCTAGGGGATTAAGAAGATTAAGAGTAAAGTCGCTCACACTTAAAACTCATCAAGTGTAACAAGACACGTGACTTAAGGTGAGTTCAACTCCGATCGATAGAATACAACTAGGATAAATCATCTGACGTTAAGGCGAATACACGTACTATGATACGTGTTTAACGGAGCGGCGGTTTGCTCTGCATCGTGGGAGTTTGTTCTTAAATAAATTTCTCATTTTTTTAGATAACCTTTCCCGTTACATGGCACCCAACTGGTATTAAGACCCGTTTAGTGCGAATAGGATTGTCCGTCGAAGGTAATCGACGCACGAGAGAGAGAGACGATTGCGCGAGGGCTTAGGAAGGTTTGAGAGGGTGATAGCGTGAGATCGTGAGCAGTACGCTCTCTGCTGGGGAAAAAACGAAATCACTTCGAACTTTTTACTTAAAAATTGTTAAGTTGATTGTAAAAAGGGCTGAAAGCGATAATTATTAGTAGGTCGAAGTGATTTCGGGTCGTTCGGAGTAATCAGGTGTTAACCCATTTCACCTAAAGTTTGGTGGATAAAGGGGGGTTGGAAGCATCTGATCGACGACAAACGCAGAGAGCGAGACGTAAGCGTGCAATCCAGAAAATATCAGCCAGGCGGAGCAAGCAAACAGCAGGCTCCGACCTTAGGTAGGATATTTTTATAATATTAATAGATATAGTAGTTTGCGGAGACTGCACGCGCTCATAATCTCGCGAGTTTGTGCTTTATAAAAAGGAGGCATTAAGGGTAGTTACACTAAATGGTGTACACCCCGCTCATACCTTGGATGATAGGAAGCGGTAGTGGTCGATTAGGTCGATAATTTCAAACCTCGACCGCATCCTACACCCGTGCGGAGGCAAGATGGCTCTGTTATCTGCTCTAATCGACAATTGGGCATTAAAGCTGACCTCCGCACAGCGCGAACGCTACTTGGTGGATTTAGAGCTGCGCAAGGATGGAAGTGTCATCCAGCAGGTAGCTAGGCTTGGGAGATAGTTGCTAGGACAGTATACCGTCACAGATTTCGAAGAGACCACACGTAGTAAAGAGGTGGCGGGGCATAGGAGGCGCACCCGACAAGCGTGGCACGACACAGTCTGTGACGAGTTGGAAAACCACAGCGCAGACGAGAACAGCGACCATTCCCTGAGAATCATCAATAGGGGGGGAATATCCTTGACAGATATGTCAAGGACATTCGCGTGCCCGGATGAGGATTCTGAGGGTGAAGCCAGCCGCCAAGACGAGGATGAACTCATCCAGAAGGCCCTCCACACCCAGGAGCAGGAGGAGGGGGAGAGGAGATGGAGCAATCCGGTTCTTAGGTCGTAAGAATCCTGCACCCGGAAGGAAACTCTGGAAGAATTATCCTTGAGTGAAGCCTTCCGAGAAATATAGTACCTGAAGGAGGGAGTCGACCGCAACCGCAAACTGGTAGGTCGAATCCTAGAAACCCTTCAGACTCTGCAGGGAATACAGGTGTGTGCGGAGCGCGAGGCACAGGACATGCGCCTACGAATACGACAGCTTACGAATAAGACACAATGCATGAGATGACCAATGCTAGCCGCTCTTCTCAGCGCGACTCGGTTCAACCGCGATCCGGATGTAATGTACACTTTCAGGACACATTCACCTGTCACTACGATTCTGGGATTCCGGGAAGCACACCGGCTCCCCCAAGACCACTACCCAGGAGAAGGGACGTCACCCGACCGGAAGCCCTCCAAAGAAGAGGAGGTAAAGAGGATCCGCAACAGTATGGGACATCCGCACCTGTTCGACAGAGGAGTCGAAGCGGATCATCTGGCACCGGTCCTCAACTATCCTCGGGGCTCTCTACAACCTGAGATGTTGGAAAAATTGTCCGCGGATGAAAATTGAGGTTTGCGGGCAGTAGGGCACAGAGCGTAGATACGTTTCTGTCAAGGTTGGAAGATCTGCGCGTGGGCGCAGGGCTAACTGATGAAGCAGTGCTTTGTTCCGTATCAGAGATCCTCAAAGTTAACGCGAGGTCCTGGTAAGATAACAAAAAGTACCAGTGGCTTAGTTATGTAGATTTCGTCGCTGACGCCCGGGATTGGTTCGGCACTAGTACGCAACAGCAACAAAGGCTGTTGCAGGAAGCCCAGAACCGGTTCCAGAGTGAGGACGAACTAGTTCGAGACTACGCGTTCAATCTGGTGGTTCTTGTCAATAGACTGGAACCACCAATGCCCTTGGAGAGGTTATTAGACCTACTTCATGCAAACCTCCTTCCAAACATCCAATTTCAGCTGCATCGGAGCGAGATGAAGTCGATAAGCGAATTCAACAGGAAGGCAACTGAGGTACAGAACACCTTATCTTACGGTCGTCGTCCACATGTATTCGCCGACTCCAATTCGACGATCTTCCCTCAGCAAGCCTACCAGCCGAGCAAAAGAACGGCTGGTAATAAACCCCAAACCGTTGCAATGGCCAGTGAAGGGAAGGCGCGTGCGAAGAAGGAGGGAGATCCGCAGCGCGGACAGGGCGTGGAGAACCCAGCCAGGAGGCCTACCGAACAAGCATCGGTATCGGCTACGCAAGCTTCCACTTCTAAAAAGAAGATGGAAGATCGTCTGGAGGGCATCGAGCGGATGTTGTGCAAGTTAGCCAATGAGAAGCAAGGCAGCCTTCCAGATCAGCGTAAGAGCCGATGGCGTGGGGGAAGGAAAAATTCTCCTTCTCCCAGGTCTCCTGGCGAGCGGCGAGAAGGACAGAGGCGGAAGATCAACTTCACCAAGACCCTCCAGTGTCCCGCTTGTGGCAAACTGGGATTTAGTCGTAAATTCTGCCCAGATTAAAACAAGGGAAACGGCAAGGAGAGCGAAGAGAAGAGGTAATCTCCGCGCCTTCAGTAGATTCGACCTCTCGCTGCGGGTCGTCGATGGGAAACAGCAAGTTGTCGGCGACCCAGAGATCCAAACAGGTCCTGGAAGGGCATCAAGAGAGCTCGGGGCCTAGCGGTATGTTGGAGCAGAAGGCGATCGAACCCGATGCCAGTCCTCGGCAGAATAGATGGGTGGTCATTCTGGAAGGACGAGATGGCCACATACAGGTTGTGGAGGAGGGGGAAGACTCCAGGAAAAGCCTCTCCACAGAAAAAGTTCCTCTGCCGAAGAAATCCACGAGTAGAAACAGGCCCACCGTCGTTGCAGCAGCGGAACGGAAAAAGCTGCTGAAAAGCACGACGAAGGGAGGCAAAGATGCGACTTGTGAATATGACCCTGAGGATGAGACCAGGTGATGGTTGCGGGTAGACATAGGTGACTTTAAAATTAGAGCACTCTATAATACCGGTGCCTCATCCACGGTCATGGGTCAATGAGGGTTAAGATTGGCATCGGAGATGCGACTCGGATTGAATATGACCAGAGCGGGCGATGCAAGGATCGCTGATGGGCGCCCAAGCCCTATAATTGGTCACGTGATGTTCCCCTTTAAAGTAGGAGGAATCACGATGGAAATCAGAGTCGCCATTACGCCACTGCCCACGGATGACTGTTACGTAGGCGCGAACTTTATAAGAGAGTTCAGCGCAGGTTTGGATCCCGACGAGGATGAATTATGGCTTAAGGACGCCCTGGTGAAAGTACCAATGGAAGTCGTCGGTATTGATGGTACGGCATTTCTCTCACCGATAGGACTGTGGGAGGCCACGGAGACACAGCTGGAGGAAATAGAAG